GACTTTACTGAAACCGTTTTTGTGAATTTTTTTCTTCTATTGTCTGTTTTGTCAGCGCGCTGCGGCGCTAGTGCACACTCTCTGCCGGGCATCGGATTCCTCCTCCGTTCCGACTCGCAGTTTGGCGGGAATTAGCGATCAAAATGGCGGGAATTCGCGATCACAATGGCGGGATGACGAGCGGTCACACGTGGCGCGCGCATCTCGCTGTTGCCACACTGCTCTTTGCTCTGATGTCCGCGTCGTGCCACGTGGCATCCTCCCAGATCACCGACTATGCTTTCACATACGGCAAGAAGGGCGTTGACTGGCAAGGGGTCTGCACCGACCCGAGGTCGCGGTTTCAATCCCCCGTTGACATCACCAGCTGTAACGCGACACGTGTCTCCTTCCTGGGAGACCTCCAACGCAGAGCGCGGTACACATCCTCGAGGCGCCACGTGTCTCTCGCTCACGACAACCACACTGTCGATATATTTTTCTCTGAGCCAACGAACTACATCCAGTTCCCGATGCTCAACGTGCAGCCGTACAACAACTCGGTCACGTGGCCGCCGAACACGTACACGCTGGCCAGCTTGGGGAAGACGAAGCCACGTGTCAGGCTGGTGAGGCTGGAGCTCAGGCAGTGCCACGTGCACTGGGAGTCCGAGCACGACCTCGACGGCCGGCACAGGGACATCGAGGTCCATTGCGTGCATACGGCGCAGGATCCGGGCCAGAGACCGGCTGTCGGGGTCGTGGGGGTGTTCCTCAACAGGACAAGAAAGGGGTCCATTTGCAAATGTGATCCCATGCTCGAAACTATCTTGTCCGCTCTGCCCATGGTCGTCAAGCTGCCGCCGAAGGTGAAGATGCCGGTAGCGGTGCGCGGCTTCTCGGCGGCGCGATTCTTCCCGCGGGACAAGACCTACTTCCACTACTATCCCGGGAGCCTCACCACTCCGCCCTGCTCAGAAGGACTGCTCTGGTACGTCTTCAGGGAAACCAAGCCTATCTGCCAACGGCACTTCCAGCTGATCGCCGATGCCATCACCGCGCTTAACGGGAGGGGAGAGCAGAACGCCAGAGATCCTCAGTCACTGCGCGGCCGAGTCATTTACCAATGGAGCGGCCACTAGGCAAAATGATTGCCAACTTATGCGTCACAAGCTCCTGTTCCCCACATGATCAAGCAGCGAAGGTGGTCCTTACCTGCTCGGCGTCACTAGATTCTGTGACCTTCTACCACCCCGAACATGTCCTCGCCTCATGCCTTAAGGAGAGACTACTCTCTCTCTCTCTCTCTCTCTCTCTCTCTCTCTCTCTCTCTCTCTCTCTCTCTCTCTCTCCCCAGTTCCCGTTTCCCCACATGATCAAGCTTCAAAGTTGGTCCTTACCTGCACGGCGTCACCAGATTCCCCGMCGGTCGACCATCCCAAACACGTCCTCGACTCATGCCTTAGGGAGAGACTCCTGGTCGCTCGCTCGCTCGGTGGSACAACGTGTGGACCGGTGTGKTGCGGTCGAACTGCCWCATATACTAAATTGACTTTTCGTATTGCCTTGTTTCATCTCATGAATGCTATGGGATGCTGATTTTTTTTTGTTGTTGTACTCACTAACAATTTTTTGGGATTRGCCTTGTATCATGWCGGAACCATGTATGAGCTTATCTCTGACGGAATCATTGTTCTTCTTCTTTTTCGTTTTTGGTTTAACTTTATCAGCTGCAAAGAATTGTCGCACTGAATTTGATTAGTTTGAACCCTAGTGGGATCATTGTAGAAAACTGACAACACCTTCCATYTACGCACCCTCATTTTGACTSAATGGGGCCTGAAACATACCTTCTATACGTTCATTTTCTGGGTGCTTTTTCTTTTTCTGATCGGGAAGACGGTAGTTTGACTGTGGCGGTCCACCGTCAAACTAGTAGCGTCTTCCCCGAACGTGAGGCACCCTGAAAATGAACGAAGTATGTTTCACTCCCGATTCAGTGAAAGGGCGTCGCCGCACGGGACACGAAACGAGTGCATCTTCCTGCAGAAAATGGGCAGGGTCATCGGTTTGCTATAAATAGTCACATGTGTATTTTGCCACCTTTCCTGGGCAGATGCGCGCGTTTCGTTTTCGTTTCGTGTGCCGTGCCGCGAGACCCAAAATGAGGGACCGGTGCGTGGTGCTCGGGGGAAGATGGTAGGTCACCCTAGGTGTTGTCACAATGATTCTGGGCGTCGCCGCACGGGACACGAAACGAAAAACGAAACGACTGCATCTTCCTGCAGAAAGTGGCCAGGGTCATAGGTTTGCTATAAATAGTAACGAGTGTATTTTGCCACCTTTCGTGGGCAGATGCACTCGTTTCGT